GGTGTGCGTGAGGGAGTGTGTGAGGGTGTGTGTGAGGGTCTGCGTGAGGGTGTGCGTGAGGGTGTGCGTGACGGTCTCCTGTCCTCTCACAGGTACGAGCTGATGAGCTACTGTTGGCGACTGGAGCCTCAGGAGCGCCCGAGCTTCGCTGTGATTGGTTGGCAACTGGGCAAGCTGGAGGCAGATCTGGTGGCCGCCGAGGAGGAGGACATGTTGTACGTCAACATGGAGGAGGCGGGGCGAGGGGCGGGGGCCACGGGAGGCCTCTCCCCCGCTCTCGGACCCCCCCAACCACCGCGGGGCGGGTGCTCGGAGCTCACCAAAGCCAACCTGCTGATCGCAGCCGACGTCCACCCTCGCCCCCCGGGGCAGCGTTACGTGCTGTGCCCCCCCCACGATCGCCCCGGACCCGGAGCCCCCCTCGAGCCGCCCGAGGAGCAGTGTGGCTGCGAGTCTGACTAAGCTGTGGGTCCGCAGTTATACAGCCGCCCCCCACCCCACCCCCAGGGCCTTGGGACGTCCTCTTGCCATGAGAGGCGTGTTGTCCACCTGACCTTCCCCTCCCCCCCCCAAACCCATACCCCCCCCCCTGGCTCCACACATTGGGGACGGGAGGAGGGGCCAGTGGGGGAGAGGTCAGGTCCTGGGGGGAGGGGTCAGGTCCTGGGGGGAGGGGTCAGCTCCTGGGGGGAGGGGTCAGGTCCTGGGGGGAGGGTCAGTGGAGGAGGATGATGGAGAACATGGCTCCTTGCCTGGCTCCGCCCTCTCACTGCCTGGCTCCGCCCTCTCATCGCCTGGCTCCGCCCTCTCTGAATGGCTCCGCCCTCTCATTGCCTGGCTCCGCCCTCTCTGCCTGGCTCCACCCTCTGCATTGCCTGGCTCCGCCCTCTCCTCATTGCCTGGCTCCGCCCTCTCATTGCCTGGCTCCGCCCTCTCTGTCTGGCTCCGCCCTCTCACTGCCTGGCTCCGCCCTCTCACTGCCTGACTCCGCCCTCTCCCTTGCCTAGCACTGGCACAGAGGGGGGAGGTGGGGGGAGTGGGGTGCAGTGGGGGGGAGGAGTGGGGTGGTGGGGGTGCAGTGGGGGTGGTGGGGGTGCAGTGAGGTGGTGGGGGTGCAGTGGGGGGTAGTGGGGTGCAGTGGGGGTAGTGGGGGGGCGGAGGGGGCGCCCGAAGTTTATTGATTGTATTGATCAGTAATATCTGCTTTTCCGCCAACAAATTATTGTTTGTAATTTCCAGTTCGAATATTTATAAGATTTTTAACTAACGATCTGTGTCGAGGGCGGAGGGGGGGGGGGGGGGGGGGCCGAGGGGCACAATAACCTGAGATCATCTCCGAGGTTCACACAGCACTTTACACCCCCCCCTCACCACCCCAAACCCCCTGCCCACCCACTCGCTCGCTCGCTCACTCGCTCGCTCACTCACTCGCTCAGTCGCTCACTCACTCGCTCAGTCACTCACTCAGTCACTCGCTCAGTCACTTACTTGCTCAGTCACTCGCTCAGTCGCTCACTCACTCGCTCAGTCACTCACTCACTCGCTCAGTCACTCGCTCGCTCACTCACTCACTCGCTCGCTCGCTCAGTCACTCGCTCGCTCACTCGCTCAGTCACTCACTCACTCGCTCAGTCACTCGCTCACTCACTCACTCACTCACTCACTCGGAGTGACCTGAGCTGGCGCTGGTTGGAGGATGATGGTGGTGGGGGGGTGGGAGGGGAGGGGAGGGGGCGGAGGGAGAAGCGGAGATTGGTCCAACGTCACAGTGAATTCAGACACAGTATTCGGTGCGTAAGCGCCTCGGGACGTCCTCCTGGTGTGGGAGGAGCTGCACAAGGATAAGTTGTTGTTGTTGAGTCTCTGTGTCTGAGCATCACTCGGAGCCTCATACAACACCAGACAGAGGGGGGGGGGGGCAGATGTTGCCTTGCGGGATGGGGTGGGGGGGCACCAGGAATGTGGGGGGGGGGAGAACCAGGGATGGGGGGGAGGGGGTCACCGAGGATGGGATTCGGGGGCACAAGTGGGGGGGGGGGTTGGGGGTCTTTCTCTCTTTACAATGAGCACAAATGAATTGAGTAAAAGTGTTTACAGGGTTTTGACCGACGTGGGGTATCCTGTGATGGTGGGCAACGTGGAGACCTCCCCCCCCCCCCCCCACATCACTAGGGGTTTCCCCCCCGCGTCCGCCCTCTCCCCCGAGCCCCCTCCCCGCCCAGCATCTCCCCCCAATGTTTAATCGGGAGCCTGATGGTCTCACTGGCTGAGATTCAGGGAGAGAGGAGGGAGGGGACATGTTGGGGGCTGGTGAGAAGGGGAGCTGGGGGGGGGTGTGGGGGCTCGGGGAGCGGAGGGGTGGGGTTTGGTGGGGCTCTGGGGTGGGGTGGAGGCACGCGGGGGGGGGGGGGGGGTCTCGGAACCTGCCCGTCCTCACCAGGAGGGAAAATGAAATGTCTTTTATTTGTGTTTTCTTAAAAAAGATTTTTTTTTATATAAA